ACCAGTAATTCATTCAAATATCACATGCAACTGCACGGCGACAATCGACCCTTTGTCTGCAGCATTTGCGGCGAATCGTTTAAGACACGCAACGCCTATGATGGCCACATAACACTACACAATCCGAACAATCCCAACAAGTGTACATTCTGTGGAAAGATCTACAGGCAGGCCTCATCGTTGCGCTCGCACCTGTTCAGCCACAGCGGCGTCAAGCCCTTCACTTGCGACATCTGCGGCAAGGGATTGACCCAAAAGTCTGGCTACAAAAAACACATGCTCACCCATACGGGTGAGAAGCCGCATACCTGCGACACCTGCGGACGCAATTTCCGCTACTCAAGCAACCTGATCGCGCACAAGCGCTCCCACACACGAAAAAACCCCACCAATCCGAAGCCAGCGGGCAACAAAAAGACAAAAAGTCAAAAGGCGACCCAAACGTGAACCGACCCAAACGGTTCGCCTGGCCACACCCCACACACACACACACACACACGCACACGCACACACATACACACACACACACACACAACACCCAGAGAGTAGAACCTGATAACACGGCAAATAAAAGAGCCATTTGGCATTTGAAATACAACTATGGAATTAACGATTTTATAATCAATGAATCTTTGGCTGGTTATGATTATCCCTTGCCCTGACTATGACCTTCCGGTGGTCAGGAAATTATGGCTCACTCACGGATAATTGCTTTCTTCAACGGCTCGACCGTATTGACTCCTGTTGCAATGAAAGCGATTGGAGAATGTCCATGTGCAGTTACAGCTGCCGCTTCCTGGCAAACCTGGACTTGGAGCTGCCTCCAGAATATATTGCCGATAATATGTTCCATTTACTTTGAGCCCAGGTCGAATGGAAGCGATTGAAGAATGTGCATGCCTACCAGGCGATGGATGGAATGTTCCGCCGGTAAAGTAAATTCCATTTTTGTGGTATATATAATGATCTATTTGATTCCTATATGCACATATCGATTTGTTAACCTAGTTGAAAACCAGAACATTCCCTTAGTTCCCATATGTATATATCAAATATAAGCTATGTGTAATCATAGCAGTTTGTCACCTGGTTGAAATCCGATTATTACAACCTTAGTCTTATATTCACATCGGATCGATGCTATACATATAATAATTTATTTGATATGTGGATTTTATAAAATTTTTATTTTAATATTAATTTTGTGTTTTTTTTGCTTATATATACATACACGTTCTGTTCGAGTACAAGTAATTACAGCCTTTTGAATATAGGTATATATATGTATATATACATATATTTACATACATTATGTACATATACATATATATGAATATGTGATTGTGTCGGAAATATACAAAATTTATTATTTAGCTGCGGAACGGCCGACAAATCACATATGTATTTACAATTTTGTTAACAATTCGAAATTTACAATAAAAATTTTACAATAGAAAAAAAAAACCCTAATTGGCATCTATTTTTTATAAATATAGCTTTACGTTAAAAATATCAATGTTTGTTTGAAATAATATATATCAGCATTTGTGGATCCCGAACGATAATTATCCTCAAGTATGCGATTCGTTGTAATGCAAATTTACAGTGTTTCAGTATCGTTGACCAATTGTGATACCAGATGAACAAGTCCGTGTAGTATACGTGTACGTGTACATAGTAAAATTAACTGTTGCTATATACATAGGATAGGTGTGGGTAGGTTTCTATATTCTAAGTGTAAAAACTAGGCTTAGTCCTAACTGCATTTACAGCACGACAACCACTTTGGAGGTGGACACCTGCTGGTCAGTTACATCGGGCATATTCGCGGCTGTGCGACGGCCCGCCGCCACGGCATTGGCACGATCGGGGCTGGTGTTTGTGCCGGTGGTAGTGCTAGTGGTGGTCACTGGCGTCTCCTTGTTGTGGACACGCAAATGGCTGTTAAGGCGCTTTTTGGTTGGGAATGCCTTCATGCATTTGTCGCACTTGAACGGCTTCTCGCCGGAGTGTAGGCGCACGTGGGCATTCAGGTTACTGGTGAAGGTAAAGGCGCGTCCACAGATTGGACATTTGTGCGGCTTTTCGCCGGAATGCACCAGCATGTGCTTCTTATAGCCGGACTTCTGGGACAACCCAACGCCGCAGATTTCGCAGGTGAACGCCTTCTCGCCCGTATGGCTGACCTTGTGCTGCCGTAGGGAGGATGAATCATAGTACGCCTTATCACACAGATCACACGCATACGGACGTTCGCCGGTGTGCGTCAGCTTGTGCCGGCGCAGGTGATCGAAGGCCGCATAGCTGCGTCCGCACTGATCGCACTTATATGGCTTGTCCTCGGCGTGCGTGCGCATGTGGGCCGCCAGGCTGGATGTGGTGCGATAGAAGCGTGCACAGACCAAACATTGATGCGGTTTGGCATTCGTGTGGGTTAGCATGTGCTCCTTGTGGTTGCGCAAGTGCTTCAGCTTCTTGCCGCACATCTCGCATGTGTAGAGCTTCTCATCCACATGGGAGCGCATATGTTGGTTGAGGCGGCATTGCTGGCGAAATGCTTTGTTGCACACATGACAAACGTGAGGTAGCACCTCGACTGGGGGTCCAGTAACAACCGGAATGGAGAGTCGAGAATCGGAGTCTTCCATATATTCTTCTCCCTCCTCGCTATCAGCAGCAATCTAGAAGTTATTAATATGGTTACATTTAATATAAATATTATGAGTGTTTGATTACCAAATGCTCCTCACGCTCGATATCCAGAATATCCTCAGCTTCGACTTCGCCAATTACCTCATCGATGGGCTCCTCACCTGACATCATGACCATTTGATCGTCTAGCATTTGGATTTGCATTTGCTCACTGACCGTTTCCATGGGCGGGGAGTCTATAATCTCGATTTCATCTTCGTCCTCCACCTGCGAGTCGTATTCGGTTTTAATTGTCACATATTCTATGTCAGCCGCATGGAACTCATTGATTGGCTCTATAGCATCTTCCGTTTCTGTTTCGGCACCAACCTCTTCTTCGGCATCCACGCAAACATCATCAACGACAAATTCCTCATGTTCCGGCTCCTGCTCACTGTACGTTTCGACAAGCGCTGCAACTTCGTGCAAACTGGAGTCCTGTTTGCCTGCATCCGGTTCAGCATCCTCGCTCAACACTTCGATCATCACATACTCCTGGTTGCTACCGCTGGTATTGGCATTGTTGTCCACCTCCTCGAGACCCAGGCGCAGCAGTTCATCGGAGTCAATTACCATGCGCTTGAAGTTGAACGCCTGCTCCAGCAGCTGCAGGCAATGCATGCAAATGTGTTGGGGCATTGCAGCTCCGTCTTGCGGCTCGAACGACAGACTGGAGCAGAATTGCAGCATATTGGCCAGTGTAGTGCTGCCCTCCGGTCCGATTTCAATTTCATCTTGCAGCGATTTGTATTGTTTACATGCACGGGTGCATGTGCGACAATTGAGAACCACGCCTGGCTTGGTGCCGTTCATCATTTTCGCTTGGCACCGCACAAGTTTCGTTCGCTTTAAAAAACTAATTTCGACTGGTGTTGTCACCGTTTACAAATGCAATGTAAAGCGCCGATTTTAATGCGCAACTTCTTTTCAATTTGCCATTCGCGTGTTCTATTCGCTCGACTTTAATAAAAACATACAGTCAAATTGTATTGGCATATGCACAGTCAGTCACACAGTATCGTTTGATTCAAAATGGCGTCCACAGCAGACGATTGTTGCAAGCGCAAGCCAAGAAGAAGAAGAAGAACATGACAAACAGTGCTGGTAAACGGCGCGTAACATTTACAAATATACCTTGCTCAAATGATTCTCTTGTACTATCTACTTGGCAATTGGTATTTATTGATATTTACAAGTCAAATGAATAATTATTGTGATGTACAAAGCTGGTTATGGGCATACTCTTTACTTCTGGCAGTGAATGTTTAGTGATTTGCTTTTCGGCTTTTTTTGCAGAAACTGAAATGGAACGCTGCGCCCGCCTGCAAGCAGAAGCAAAACGATTTGCAATGGAAAATTTCGTTATTTTTGTTCAAATCAGATGGCGGTTTAAACTCACCGAGATTGCGCAAGTTTTCTTTTTTTAATTTTCACTTGTTGACTTATCTTACGCACTCGAAACTTGAGCTCTCTCAGCATTCGTCGAAGGCGGTGCTGTTCCAAATATTGCTTCTGACACACTCCGCGGGCCAGCAATAGGTCCTTATCCAACTTCTGCTCTTCCTTTTCCTGAATCATATTCATACAAATATTAAGTTGTTGCCTAAAGCAATTATGTATATTATGCTTTCCCACCTTTTTCAATATGAATTTTTCCAAATTCTTAAAGTTTGCTCTCTGGAACGAGTCGATGAGATCGTGCGGCAGGCCGTCGTGCCATGGCGCTGGGTGAAACATGCCCTTGAGATTTGATGGCAACGCATTGTTTACCTGGCGGCCACGTACCATCTTTTGACAAATCGGGCACACATAGGTGGGTGCATCACCGGGAATACGACCCAAGCTGGCCGTGACGCATTTCTCGCATATAACGTGCTGGCATGCCAGCAAGAATATAACAGTTTTTTCATTAACATAATGCTCAAAACAAGAATTGCAGTGAATCCATATTTTTTTCGCCTTGGTCGCATCAATGCTGACTGTGGATTTTGTGGAATGGTCTGCTATCATATTTTAAATTTTATTAATACATTTGTACTTGCATCAACCGATCAAAACTGCATCTCTTTAGTAACGGGTCTTTATATTTGCCACTCACACTTCAGCGTTAACTTTGAATGGTAAAAATCAGCTGTGCGGAGAACCATAACATAACAACAGTAACTTCACTTGCGCTTGGTATGCAGCTTATCGTTCTCAATTGCGATTTAATTTTGCAGTCAAGCATAAACTTCTATGTACACATATATTTGAAACCATAAATATCTGATTTGTTAGAAAAGAAAATAATCAATCTCTCACTGGTGCAGTCTGAAATGAGCCGTTGCTTATGCTGAGCTTTCACTTTCGGCGTCCAGTTTCAAGTGATCAGCTTACTAAGCATTCGTGGTTGAATTTGATACGCACGTACACGGACAGACACACACACGCATAAGTAGACAGAATGTTTGGCTTTGTAAAGTGCTGTTCAAGTTACCGCCTTGCATTCTTTCTAATAATTATAGCCGTTCTGGGAAAAGTTTACAAAAATGATATCGTGCAGCTCCTGCAAATAGGGGCTGCGCGTTATTTGAATAGAGCCACCAACGAGCGGACCGAAAGTGTTCCCGTTAAGTTCACGGAGACACGCGACAGTGTCTTCACGGCGGAGCAGCTGTCCACGTACAACGGGGAGAATGGTGCACCCATCTATTTGGCACTGCTCGGTGCCGTGTTTGATGTCAGTCGCGGCATAAAGCATTATGGACCCGGCTGCAGTTACAATTTTTTTGTTGGCCGCGATGCATCCGTCTCTTTTGTGAGCGGTGAGTTCGAGCACTACGATCCGACTACGGCAGATGATGTGCTCAGCCTAAAGGGCAACGACTTGATTGAGCTAGCCAAGTGGCAGCAATTCTACGAGAAGGAGTATACCTATAAGGGCAAGCTAATTGGGCGCTTCTATGATGAAACGGGTCAGCCGACGGTCTACCATAAAAAATTCCTGGCGCTGCTGGACGAGGCAAAGATAGCCAAGGCGCAAGTTGACGAGCTACGTAATCGATATCCAGGCTGCAACATCGAGTGGTCCGAAGCGAAGGGCACTCGCGTCTGGTGTACCACAACGAGCGGCGATGGCAAAGAGCGTGAGTGGTCTGGCTATCCCCGCAAGCTATATAACAGGGACAACAAGAACTTCCACTGCGCCTGCGTACCCGAGGCGGAACTAAACGATCCCATGTTCAAGCCCTACGACAATTGTGCAGATCGGGCGACTGAATGTTTCTATCGGGTCTAAACCTGAATACAACCTTAACTGATATGCTGAAGAAGCTAATGTATGTTTGATTTACATTGATTCCAATTGTCAGTCGTCATATATGTATATCACTGTAGTGAGAGCGATGTTGGGCTTTTATTCTATTTGGAAACCGAATCGAAATCTGTAATAGTCATATAGCCTTTTGTATATACGTAATAAATAAACCTTTTTTTTATAAAAACAGTTTTCCCATTCATTTAGAATAGATCTTTATAATTTATTGCTTTTGTTATTGTATAGAATGCCGATTCGCTAAAAAATTTGAAATTGTGTTTGATCTTTGAGCTTGTAAATTCAGTGTTTATATGAATCTATATATCTATATACAAAAGAAAAATTCCATCAGAATTTTGCACTAGTGTTACAAAGAGGAAAGAAAACAATATTTACATTTGTGCATATTTTTTTTTTGTGATATGGCAGCTTGGGCGTAAAATTTCCGTTTCGATTGGAACAATCGACAATCAACGCAACACGTAAAAAAAAAAACCAACAAAAACAAAAAATTTCTTGAAAAATCTGACGATAGTTTAACTTTCGACATTCTGATGAGGATTTTCAAATAAAATACAAAATTTTACGTGAAATTATAAGAACAAACCAATTTTCGGGAATTTTGTCCGTCATTCAACAGCTGCCAGTGGAGTGCACGCAGTGTGACCGTTCACTGGTCCGATCAAAGTCGTTCTACTGCAAATAAATTGCGCGTTTGCTTGCAGAGCTTATGATATAATGTCGCGTACGTTGAGCCAATTATTTGGACGATGCCTTTTGGGCCAGTCCTACGTGAAGCCCATGCAGGCGAATAGTATGTTGAGAAATCTGCTTAGTCCGCAGCCAATGCAATCGGCGTGCGGTGGACGCATTGCATCCTATTCGAAACGAAACGGCCCACCACCGGATGCAGGCGAACCCTTCAAAACCGTGTCCAAATCACGCGGCGTTGACGATGGTAAGTGGACCTGATGAAAGTTGTGTGTCCAGCAATTGAGATTTGCATTAAATACATTCAACAGACGATCTCAACAGTCTGGAGGAGGAACCCAATTGGGAACTAACTTCCCAACGCCACAATCGCTTCTATTTACCGAATGCCACAGGTCCCGCCTGGCAGGGCGATACATCTACAGTTGGCCTATTGGAGCCGCTGGCAAATCTAGTCAATTTCTTCAAGGATGTGAACGTAGACAAGTCACGCTTAGAGTTCTCATGCTGCCAGTGTCCGGTGTTGATACGTGATTCAATTTTCGAGCTCTTCCCAGTGCGTGCCATCGGCCAAAAAGACTATGCCATAACACTTCTAACACTGAGCTACGAAGGCGACATTGAAAAAGGTGCAGCAAAGGTGAGCAACTGTCGCAGCCGCAGCCGCAGCCACAGCCATAGCCTTAGTCTATAATAATAATGGTCTTCTTACAGTTTGTGCTCGCTGCCAGGGAAATCAGTGACCGTTTACTCTCGTTGGGCTATTGGGCAGACTTCCTAAACCCATTCAGTGGCAGGCCATACTTTTTACCTAGAGACGCCTCAGTATTGTACAAACAAGACTATCGCTTTCGTGGCCTCAATATGCGACTATCCAATCACAATGACTGCGTCCTCATAGCTGCCGAGGAGAACGACAGCGTTTACTTCTCGGGCACCATATTCTGCACGGCGCCCAACAACTACAGTCTGCTCGTGGAGCTGCTTGCGCCAGCAGAGTTTAAAATTCGATTCGAAGATGTGCCCCAATGACGCAGTGGAAAGCGACATATAAAAATATCAGTTTTGTAGTACAATTTCAGTTTAGCCGACAAACTATGGCCCGCCCCCAAACAGCTCAGCTGAGGCTGGCCAGCGACAGATAGCAACGCAGGATGACACAAGTCCGTAGCCGTTCTCAGTGGTGACGATGTCTTTAAATGTCAAGTTTTTGTTCCTTGTCACAAATATTTGTGTACAAACTATTTACACCCTCATAAGTTTGTAATACACGAAATSAAATACATATATGTACATGCGTATATATGTATATGTATATGTATATATGAAATATATATGTATATGTATACATGTATATATATAGACAGCATAAGATACATATATATATGACAATATACGAATGAGCTAATTATTTCTCTAAGTGATGGCCACTTGATTACAGTGTCGTTCGATGTCCTTCAGTCGATTGACCAGCGACTGCAGCTCCTCGGCATTGCACACGAACTCCACGTCGGTGACCCGCTCACCGCTACTCTGGCGATAGTGACCCAAATTGATGTTGAAATGTGGCGCACCGCTGCTGCGGTCCGACGTCGAGGACTTCACGTCGCATACAATGCGCCACTGCACGTCGGTGATGTGCGGGAAATTGTGGCCCAACTGCAATTGGCGCAGTACGAGATCCTTTCGATTGTCCTCGTAGACCCGGGTTAGTTCATCAACGGCACTGGCATTCAGGTCCAGTGCTTCCAGCTGCTGCCGCAGCGTAATGCTGCTCCAGCCGTGCTTGGTGGCGACGGAGTAGAGCGTGACCACGGCATATTCGCTCTGTTTGGCGCTGGCTGCGTTCGTTGCGTAAATTTCGGGCACTGGTGCTATAACTGTTACCATTTGAATTGTTTATGTGATATTTTTTAGATTTTAGCAATATTTAGCTGCATACTTGCATCTGGATGGAGCGTCAATTTCAGAGAGTTGGCAATTAGTGTTTTACTGATGACCGCTGTTAGTGTGGTGCCCAGGTTCTTGAGGCCGGCAATCACGGTCGCCGATAGCAATCCATTGTTGTCATCTATGGGAGCATTTGTCGGGCTTGAACACTGTGTTTCGGTGGCCATTAACAACAATTTGTGAGCTGATGCACAGAGGCCAAACAAATATCAAACAGCTGTGAATATGCCATTCACAGCGAACTGCCGCTTGATGCATGTGTGTATGTAGGTGAAGGTTATATTAAACGAGGCTACCAAGCTATTGCTTGGTGATGCCGCACACTCTCTGAATGTGTGACGTCACAGTGAGAAGTTAGCAAACCGTTTGCTTAACCTTGTATCGTGATGCGAGGGTCAATCAAAATATTTCGGTCTGACCTTGTCAAACAATTTAAGCTTAATTTGACCTAATTATTCTTAATATATTATATATTGTTGTTAATTCAACTATAATAAATAAGAGCAGACGGATTAAAAGAAACTAGTTAGATTATAATAATTTTTTTTCTTAACTTACTGAATGCGAGTCTATAGATGGCACCATTTTCAAATTTAAAATTTGTTAACGAAAAAGAGCGAGAGAGAAGGAGAGATAGAGCAAGAACGAAAGAATGAGATTGAGGGGATGAGAGTTGTGGATATAAAGAAGGAATGAGAATTGAGTGCGAGGGAGAGAGAGAGAATGAAAGAGACAGAGATTGAGAGATGAAGAGCATAAGTGAGGGAGAGAAATTCCCATATGATTTTACGAATAGCTTGAATATTTCATTATTTATTGATTATTTTATTTATTTGATTTTATAGATTGTTTTCACTATTAAANAAAATATAAATTGTTTAATTTAATAAATTTAATTTTTATATTTTGCTAATTTTCTTTACTTTATTGACATACGTATCGAATTCTTCAGTTGACAAAAATAATGATTGGAATATTCTATTACAATAAAGGAATATTCTTATTTTGTATAATTATTGGCATTGGCTTAGCGCATGGGTGTAGAACGTTTTGTCCTTATCCTCGATTCCTCGCTTGATAACGTGCGGTATTTTCTTGGGCACCATGCTAGCAAAAGGAAGAATTCGGAAATCGTAAATCATAGGTAATACATGGGGGTCTTATCGCTAAGTGCGTCCACTTACCTGATGCAGTCGATGATGGGACAGACGGAGACACAGAGGGTGCAGCCGGTGCAGTCGTCGTTGACATGCGGCAAGTGGGTGTCCTTATCGAATTCAATTGCCTGGTAGCCGGAGTCGGCACACGTCATATAGCACTTGCCACAGTTGATGCACATGTCCTAATGCACAGGAATACACATATATTTATATTATTAGGTCAACATGCAGATATAGCGAAGCACTCACATCATTGATAAGGGCCACTTTCTGCTGTTTGTTGTCGAGGCTCTTGTAGGGGCCGATGCGCGGCAGGGCCGCACCAATGACGTCTGTTATCTTGGGCGCCGGCTTGATGACAGCGCCAGGGTTGGAGGTATCAACGGCGGTCCGCTCGGCATCCCACAGGGCGCCCTTCTCCTTGCGCAGTTCGGCCAATTTGATGTCGCGCTGCTGCTGGTAGGGGCCAAAGAAGCCCAGCGTCTGGTTGCCACTGCCGGTCAGGTGGACCACCGGCTTGCCCTTCTGGTGCACGGGCGTTGGCGGCGACTGTCCGTCCCAGAAGGCGCCGTTATTTGGCGGCGGATTGGCCTTCAGGTAGAGCAGCGCCTTCAAGCTGGTGCAATAGTCTTCGATGAGCGTAAAGTCCTGGTTCTGTACGGACGAGCAAACCTGCAGAACCGTAGCGCCCGCCTGGATAAACTGCAGCGCCACCTCGCCGGAATCAATGCCGCCGATGCCCAGTATAACGAAGTCCTTTGGCAACGCCCTCGCTATCTCCGAAATGGCGCGCAGTGCCATGGGACGCGTGGCATTGCCGGAGACGCCGCCGTACGTGGTGCGCTGCTCCTTGCCAATCGCCGGCCAGGCCGTCCCATCCGCCTTCAGGCTCATCAGACCCTGCACCGTATTGATGGCCGAGCCACCGTTGGCACCACCGCGATGCGCTGCCTTGGCAATGGACACAATGTCCGTAATGTTTGGCGTCAGCTTGATGAAGAAGGGAATTTTGACGGCCTTGCGCACCCAGCGCGAGATATCCTCCACCAGTCGGGGCTCCTGGCCACAGGCCAGGCCCATGCCGCTCTCGCCCATGCCATGCGGACAGGATAGATTCAGCTCGAGAGCATCGGCGCCCGACTGCTCGGCCCTGGTGGCCAGCTCCGTCCAATCCGCCTCGTTGTAGCCGCACATGATGCTCGCTATGATGATCTTCTCGGGAAAATCGCGCTTCAGCTCGCCAATGGAGCGCAGCCAGTACTCGGCTCGCTTCTCCGAGATTAGCTCGATGTTGAGGAAGCAGCCCTGCTGCGGCCCGTACCTGTAGCCGGACGTGGTGCCGCGCACAATGCGCGGCGACACATTTGTGACCATGTCCTTGTCGAGGCCAAACGTCTTCGTCACCACGAAACCCCAGCCCTGCTCGAAGCTGCGGCGTATCATCGCTGCGCTGGTGGTGGGCGGTGCCGAGGCCAGGCCGAAGGGATTCTCGAACTTCAGGCCGCACATCTCGACGGAAATGTCCACGCTGTCGATGTCCGTATAGAAGAGCGGCAGGGCGGCGGGTGTGTCCAGGGGCAGACCCTGCAGCTGGCAGTGAATGCTCCAGGCGGCGACTTTGCCATCGTTGACCGACTCCACAGTGGTATTGGCCACGCCGGCCAGATCACCGCCCAGGAAGACCTGCGGCACGCTGCTCTGCATGGTTTGGCGATCCACCACGGGCAAGCCACCGCGGAATTCGAGCGGCGACAGCGCCTCTTTGACGTCCGCATCCTGCAGACCCGAGCCGAAGGCGGAGATGACAAAGTTGGCCTTGAGGCGCACGGTCTGCTCCTCATCCTCCACCCATTCATCCTGCTCGTTCTGCTCGGTGCGACAGAATTCCATGCCCGTGATCTGGCCATCCTTCACAATGACCTTGCGCGGACTCAGGTACGGCATCAGCTCACAGCGTTCCTCACGCGCCAGCTCCACCTCCTCGGGCACGGCCCGAATACCGGTCGAGCCCTTCCGGAAGACAACGAACACACGCCGCGCCCCACAGCGCAGCGCCGAGGTAGCGCAATCGAACGCCGTGTCGCCGGCACCCAGGACGATCACATTGCCGTAGAGCTTGGGCAGCGCCTGGGCCGATTTGCAGGCGCACAGACCTGGCTTCGAGCCGTCCGAGACCAAGGGCAAAAAGTTCTTAGACGTGAAGAAGCCCGACTGAGTGCTCAAACCCTTGAAAATCGGATCGATCTTTGGCTCTGGCAGTCCAATGCCCACGAATACGGCATCATGGCCGGAAGAGAGCAGGCCCTGTTCAAAACAGGAGTTTATTATATTAATATA